GAAATTTCCCCCTTGTGGCTCGATGCTTCTTCTGCCAATTTCTTAGACCCAGTCTTGTTTTTTCCTTTTAAACATTTCCTTTTTTTTTTTTTCTTGTTTGTTTCTCCATTTGTAATTCCAGGAGAACGCACCTGACACTTTCTGGGTGTGGTTTGATGGCATCCTAGTCATGGTCAAATCCTTCCTTGAAGACCTCTGGAGGGAGGGGTATGTGTGTTATCATTATTTTTAAGTCTTTTACACTGATGTCTACCTGCTGGACGTTATTTTCCTAAACTTCATGTCTGTTTTTAACAGCGTGATTTTGTATGTTTTTACAGACTGATCATGATAATTTTCCTAAACTTCATGTCTGTGGTTTTGTATGTTTTTACAGACTGATCATGGGCTTCGTGAGCAGAGGCAAAGAGAAGACTCTCCTGAAGAGGAAAAAGAGAGGCACGTTCCTCCTGCGCTTCAGTGAAAGTGTCATTGGTGGAATCACTTTCTCCTGGGTAGACACCACTTCATCTGGTAAGGTGTTTTTTTTTCTTTTCTTTTTTAAATGAGTCTTTAAATGAATCGACATACAGCTCAATCAGTCATCCTTCATTTTGAATATTGAGTGAATATTCACTGTCTGTTCTCAGGTGAGCCAGATGTAAAGACCGTCCAGCCCTTCACCAAAGTTGACCTCAACCAGATCCCCTTCCAGGAAATAATTCGCAATTTTCAAATCTTGGAAGCCGAAAATATCCCAGAAAACCCTCTGCTCTATTTATATCCCGACACGCCTAAAGATGAGGCCTTTGGAAAATTCTACACTGAAAAGACAGGAGGTTAGTCCATCAGTTGTCTTTGAAGTTGCTTCAGTTACTTTTCCAGCCTGTCACAAATAAAGTTCATTTGAACTGAACGTCTCTTTCAGCTGACAGTCCTTACATCATGTACATCAAAACCAAGCTGATGTTCGTGTCCAAGGAGTAAGTACACGTCCATCTCCTCTATCTTTTCTTTTTTTTTTTCTAACAAACCCAAAACAGCATCCTGCACTTTAAGAATGTTTTTTTTTCCTATCATCTACTTTCTGTAGAGGTTACTCTCTGTTAGTCTTATGTAGTGTTTTATCCCGTGTGTTTTTGGACAAATGTCATGACGTGCCTGTTGCATGAGTGTCTACTGCCATCATCAGGGGATTTCATTAAACATCCTTAAACAAACGTCATATATATTTATCATCCCAAATGTGTGTTTCTTTTCCTAGCCCAGCATATTGGTTGTAATGACTGTTTGTGATTGGATATGTAGGAACACACTGGAGCCTATGCCGTCCATGTCCTGTGACATGGGACAGGGCGACGGCCCGGAGCCAGTGAATGGCCTGTGTGAAGAGGCAGCTGGTGAGTCCTGGCTGCCTGTGTTGATGCTGCCAGATGAAAACACTTTCTGTCGAACACTCTCCCTCATCACAGAGCTCTCTGTAGTTAAATCTCTGTCTCCTTTGATGACTGCATGGGAACATGGAGCACACAGCAGTCTCCCTGAAGTGATGCTTAAGCTCACAGTTTTCCTGCTGCTGACTGGCTGGCTGGTCAAACCCTCCCCCTCCCCCAGGACCTCCCCCCATGGAAAAAAAAAATGTCATGATTGACAGCTGATGCTAACATGTGATTGGTCAGGCCATTGGATCAGCCACACTACGAGCTGTTGCACAGTTAGCAGTGGTGAAAACGTGTTGTCCATCTTTGCATACAGTTTTGGGCCTAATGGTGTAACAGCTGTATGGAATGCACTGCTTTAAAAAAAAAAAAAAAAAGGTGATTGCTTAATTATCCAAATCTGACGGGGCTGCTGACTGCTTCTGCTGCTGCACGTGAACTGCAGTCTGTTCGTCTAAACCACAGCTTCTAACGTCTGCTGCATGTGGCGTTAATCAGCAGAATTAACACAGGTGTACTGTAACAATCAGCCTTTAAACCAGCGGTGTCAAACTCATTTTGGTTCAGGGCCTCTTTACAACATATTTAGATGTCAAGTACAATCATAACATAAATTACCTAAAATACCAAGTCATGTTTTTCACCTTTGTTTTCAAGTGGACGTATATTAGATTAATCTGAACTATATGTGATTATAACATTTTTTTTCATCAATTATTAATGAAATATAATTTCCCTGAACAGGAAGTGTATTTTTATTTTTTATTTTTTTTACAAAATTCATCAAACAGGCTGGATTGAACCCCCCAGCCAGCGTGCCGGTTTTGGCCCATGGGTCATATGTTTGACACTCCTGCTTTAAACTAACCAAAAAAACAAAACATGATTCTGATTCTTGGTAACACATTCTTATTTATATTTGATTCTGAATATAATTGATTTTCTGTCGACAAAGTGAAATAATGGTTGGCGTCCTGGATTATTCTTATAAACTCTTTTTACTGAAGTACTTGGTAAAATACCATAATAATAATATCCCAACTGTGTTTGATGCTGAGCTTACCTGCAGTCTTATTGGACATTGGAGTGGTGAAATGATTTAGGCCGACAGAAGGGTATTTATCTTTTATATTGTGGAGGTAAAAGGGAGACTTTGTTGACTTCATGAACTTAATGTCTTCTTTGATAACAGTCTGTAGTTGTAATAGTTCTGACACTTGGTTGTAATGGTGAGTGGTGTTGTCAAAGTAAACCAGATCTGATCTCATTCTGGATGTTTTGGAGCTAACACCTGGTCTCCACCCTGCAGCAGAGACACTAACTTGTGTTGTTTTGTCTCTTGTCTTTTACCCTCAGAACAAAACGACAATCTTCATCATCTGAACTCCTCTCTGGACACCTGTCTACTTGATCCTATGATGTCTGTCACTGCCCTGCAGGAGGATTTAATGTTGTGTCCAAGCAGCCCCAACATCTTAGACGAACTCTTTGGCAGTGACACACAGATGCCTGACTTCAATATTCAAGAATTAATCCTGATGACCCAATAAGTCTCAGCAAGGGTTTTCCAGACGTCTGCTTTTGTTCATTTACATCTCGCCTACAGCCCTGCCCTCAGATCCTGACATCAGCAGTCCGTTTATGAACCTAACCATTATTTATTTTTTGACATTTGTTAGAATGCTTAGATTACTTTTTAATATCCACCACTATTCAGAATACTACTGCATACATAACTTTTCTTTCTGCTCGTCGGTGTTTTACTCATCTTTAATTCTTTTCCACATTTAATGTTTTCCAAAATATCTGGCCCACAGCCTAACTTACCTAACTGACCAGTAATGTAGACGTTCAAATGCAGCATGTAGCTTCACCACCAGGTGACGCCAAAACCTTCGCCGTATACTTTAAAACAGCTCATTCAGTCAAGTGCTCGTTTATTCAAAATCAACAATAAAACTTCCAGTGTTACTGTTACTGTGTTTTAGAGTGCCTTTCTTGAAAGTCTTGAAGAGCACCTGCTCCCCATGAGCTCATGTTTCTACTCTGTAGAACTAGAACACATAGAACCTTTGATCTTTGATTTAATTATGTATTCTTTGTTCCTAATGAAGATATTTAAAATCACATGCCATCAAACATATATATTTTTATTGAACACATCTTAACAGGAATATGCTATCCAAAAAAAGGAACATTATTTCAGGTGCATAAGTTACATTTTTATCATAGACAATACTGACAATTTTCTAAATAAAAAACAAAAACAGTAAAACTGTCTTTACTCCCTGAAACCATTTGCTCGGCACCAAAATTGTGGTTAATGTTTTTCTGACGTACAAACAAGTTGAATACACGGTAGCATAAAATAACAAAAAATAACTTAAGAGGAAAATGGTATGTGGTAGATGAAGGATCATTTAAAACACTGTGTTTGTCTTGAATAAAACCATGTTCTGTGTGTTTAAGAAAGTCTAGATCTCTGTGCTCTGCACTGGGCCCACAGGCGGGTGAACGGCGTTGCGGCCCGGCTGAGCAGCAGATGGTAGGCCTGTCGAAACTGTCGGTTCATGACGGCGTAGAGCACAGGGTTGATGCAGCTGTTGAGCCAGGTGAGGTTTGCACAGAACATGTGAAGGACCCGAGGTGCATGGATATGTTTTTCAGCTATGTTGAGCAATATAAAGGGCACAAAGCAGCACACAAAACACAGGAACACCGTAAGGCACATGCGAGTCACACGCTTGAATTCGCCATCGTCTCCTGAGCTCTTCGTGTGGTCAGAGGTTGCTGGAGTTGTGGAGAAAGATTTAGGGACAATAGATTTAGACGTAGGGTTGTGGTTCGGTGCATCAGTGTGTTGGGCCGACTGTGAGGATTTGACCTCGTCCTTATTCTGTGCGGTGTCTGCCTGGCTGCTTATTTCCCCACTACAGGATTGGTTCATGGTGCTCTCCACACCACTGTCATCTGTTGCTTGTCCTGTAGTGAAAGGGTTCCTCCTGGACGTCCGGCGCCTGATCCTATAGCGTAGAAGAGCCTTGGAGGCGGTCTTGACACGTCGGTAAATGAGCATGTAAAAAACACCAACACAACCCAGACCTAAGAAAAAGTATGAAAACAGGAGGGTGGTGATGTAGGGGTGACCTTTGCTACGATCGAAGCTACACGTGCACACCTGGGGCACAAACACATACAGAGACCAGACAGGTGCAAAGCTGGCAAGACCAAGTATCCATGTTGAGAGGAGGAGTAAAAATAGACCTAAGTTGGAAAAGACACGATCAAAAACTGCACGTCTCGCAACCAGGACATATCTGCTCACTGCCACCAGGCACAGGGTGATGATGGAGATAGAGTTGGAGAGGAAGAGGAGCAGGCCGAAGAGCTTGCACCACAGCTGCCCACTGCGCCACCTCAGGTGTAGGTAGGAGTCGACAGAGATGGGCTGCAGAATGGTGCAGTACAGTAGATCGGCTGCGGCCAGGTTGATGATCAGCACATTGAAGCGGGTCCTCAGTCGTGGGTCTGAGGCGAAAGCCAGGATGGTCATTATGTTGCCCACGGTACCGATGATGGTCACGACACATCCCCAAAACACAGCAAAGTACCTGTAGCTGACAACTGAGGGGTCGTCGCAGGAGAAGGGGTCTGTTGGGTTTGTGTTGTTCATCAGGATTCTGTCCTCTGTCCTAACTGAAACAGAACAGGTTCACATTCAGCATAGATTACACTCGTAAAAGGGAAAGTTGACTGCGAAGCTTCCTGCTGCCCTCACTTTGCAGAGAGGAACTCACAGACAGAATAAAACGGCTCACTTCCCTCAAGAAACAGAACATATTTGACAAAGTAACAAAGGAAACATTCTAAACCCTAAAATAGAAAAGGTATGTGAAAATATTTTGGTAAAAAAAGAAAAAACAACAACACAGATTTAAGTTTATATCCTGTCACCAACAATAAAGGTTTACTGTTATATACCTTCAGGAACTATTTATATTTGTTAAAATAGAGGCAAAACAAAAACACTAATTCACTTCTTAATTTCTCACCTCTGAGCTGTAGATGATTTCCGCTGGTGTTGATGTGCTGCTCTCATTCCAAGCACTGAGCTCTTCTCACTGTTACTGAGGTCTGACTCTCAGCAGTGGCTTCCAGCTTCCTTTATATTTTGCATGTGCATCGCCTATTTCTGTCAATCTCTTTTCAACCCCCCCCCCACTCCTTTAATGTATTACTCAGGCATTAAAATGGCCGGAGCCGATGCTAGTAGAACAAGTCTGGCCATTAAACGCACACGGCTGCGTCTATGTAGCCAAGTCGTGTTTATGTAATTTGTACAGAACACATTCCGAATATCCTTATGAGAATTTGCAAATCTCCTAGAATTATTTATTTTTGTAAAAGGAAACATTTTCAAATAACCGTCAAAGGCTGTGACCTGGTGTACAAGCCCAACAGATTAAAAAAAAACAACTAATTCTCTGATAGACACAGTGTTCTCAGACGTGTTTAGACAACGTTGAGGATGTAAAGTGAAAATAACACAGTAGCTGTGTTATTATATATCAAAATATGAACTTTTTTTAATTAAAATGTTAAAAAAAATTATAAAATTTTTAAAATTATTATTAATTTTTAAACTTTATTGTCATTGTATAGCCTCTGTATTTAACACATCACCAAGGTGAGCAGTGGACAGCTTTAAGCTTAACCCTGGGGTGCAGTGGATGGACCGTCCCCATCCACTGCACCCAAGTCCGCTTCCTTAACCATTAAGCCACCACTGCCCTACTTTCCTCCAACATGTTGGTCAAAACATTTTACTCGACCACATTTTATTATTAAAATGTACAAAAATAGTAAATGAAATTCACTTAATTTTATTATTTTTAATTTAAACTTTTATACTTTTATACACTACACCGGCATCACTGACAGCAGCAATTCACCACAGCTACAACAACAAAAAGGAAGGTAATTATTGTATGTCAGTGTGGTTTTGTCTCTGTGCACACACACTTCCTGTTTGGTTTGTGTTGTTGCTCTTTATTCTTTTCGAGTTGAAAAAGTTGGACAAAATAGTATTAATTGTACTGTGATGGCATCAACATATATTTTCAGTTGAAAATACGTTACCCATTCTCTCGATTATAACTATTTGATGCGTTTATTGCGGAATATTCCGTTACAAACTATCTAGATATTTACATTATTGTTTCCAGCACCCATTTAATTGAAGGCGACAGAGTGAGTGTGGTGCGTGATTGCTGGTCGTGCGCTGTGATTGGCCAGAACTTTGACCAATGTCCTGGTCTGGTTCCAGTGTTGTCACCATGGCAGAATATGTGCGCGCGGTAGGTTCGGGAAAACGCAATTATCAGAGTAAATAAGTTAATCTCCCAGCCCTACTTTAACTTCACTAGTGTTGGAAAACGACGCAAACTATAGGGACAGCTATAAATGAAGGGGTGAAAACCCTTTTGCAGAGTTGACAGCATTTACCATTTAAATAGCTACCGTCTGTTAGCCAACGGATGACGTCGAAATTAGCCTGCCCGAAGCTTTATTTTATTGGGTCAAGTTTCTCTGACTCGCTCAACTAAAGTTAATGCTGTTCGCGGCCCTCCTCAAACAAACACAACACCGTACTGCAGTAACTCGGTGAGTATTTATATATATATATGAATCTTAGGTTCTGAGAACGAAGTCGGGGCAAAATGAATGACCTCGACTTCAGCGAAGTGAAGTGGCTTCACTTGTCAAAGCGGCGGTTACAGAACTGCGCAGTGCAAAAGGAAGTTACAGTTACTTTACCAGTTTGTCTCCAGAAAATGGAGAAATGTATAATCGAATCACCGGTAATAGCTATAACTAACACAGTTAATCCATGGACACTTGACTGTGTACAGTTCATCAGTATTGACATATCACAATGCTCCCTTGAACATTTTTGTGTTTTGTTGTTGAGTATCTGTACCTAGCTAAATATGTTAGTGATTCTGAAACAGACCTGATATCTTATCTTATTTGAGGGATTTTTTATTTTTTTATTTTTCCTCATTGCAGAACACTATTTCCAGATCACAGATGCTGAACTCAAACCACATAACCACTTACCGTAAAGTACACACGTAAGAGAATACATTCCATGGAGGTGCAGCTGCAACATCTGCCCCCTGCAACTACTCTGAAGGTAAGATGATTTTTGTTTTCTATCTACTCGTGTCAACCTTGGCTTTATGCTATGTTATTTTTCTGTGTTTTGTCAGGATTAATTTGGTGAATGTGAACATTGATGTGGTATTTATTCTAATGTTGAGTGCGTTGTTGGGCTGGAGGGGAAGTGGTCTGTACTTCTGGTGAACTGCATGTGGGTTGTCAAAATGGATGTCATGTGAATGGGTAGTCTGACACCCCCGCCCCTATACTCAGTTTTCGAATGGGTAGTCTGACACCCCCGCCCCTAATAAAGCTGTTGACACAGATGTTTCTCTGCAATTCCGAGTAATCACCTTCGGTAATGTGGTCTGAGGTGCATTTTCACGTGGTTCTCACAGATGACATATATCAGTTATGTATTTAAATATATATAAACAGAAGTAATTAATCCAACAACACAGTTTACAACCATGAACTGAGTTTAATCTTTTGAGTAAGGTTGACCTAACATGTACTTTTACTTTTTTTAAATCTCATTTCTGTATATACAGTACATTTACAGCCATGTTTCAATACACATCATTTAAATACCAATGGATACAAGTGGAGACATGTCTTCTTTTATTGCATTCAACCAGAAAAGTTAGCTCAAGTGCAAAAGTATTGCTACAGTTTGTATTTTCTAAAGCCTTCCTCCAACATGTCTTCAGTGAAATGTAGGGTCAGGTAGGACCAAGCAGAGGAGGAAGGGCAGGCAAACTAAACATTTTATTCTCAACTATAGACCCGTTAAAGCCCCGTCACAAAGAGTGATTTTGTTGCTGCCTTATCATTTATTTATAGCTTTGTGTAATATATATATATATTTGCATACAAGTACATTTTGACATGGTCCTTTTCTGCTCCTACTCTGACAGAATGCTGGTGTCTTCCATCCCACTTTTCCCACTATTCTGTATTCCGTGTATAATTGTGGTGAATATGTGTCCGTCATAAAAGAAGGTGCACAAATTGCATTAACCTGCTACTAAAGACATCAATCTCCCTGCTGCTCTCACAGTGGTACAAACTATTCCATCATCACAAAAAATTAAGTTTCTCAGTCAGTGAGGAGGAATTACTAAAAACTGTTTTTATTTGCATACAAACCTCTGTTATATATGTGTCTAAACCTACGTAGGTAGTTAGAATGAGTTTTTTTTTCTGTTACACTGTATTTTTTTTTATTTGTTCAACTTTATTGCATTTATCCACACTTAACGAGACTTAAATATCTAATACCTTCTCCAAATTCTCCATCAGCACAGTATTAAGACATCATGTTACGGTTTACATCACTGTCATTTTCTTTTCACCTCCTCTTTTTATCTAACAGAGGTGACTACAGTATGGAACACAGTGGCCAGCCGCTGAATTGTGCACGTACAACGTTTGCCAGAAACTTCCGAGCCCACAAAGACATTTCTTTTTTCTCTTTTTTTTTTAACTTTTTCACTTTTTAGGCCATAAAAAAAGAAACAGTAAAGTGAAACTTCTCACTGTTACTACTACAGTATGAAACCAGCTAACATCAGAGGTAACCTCTAAATCTAATCCAGCACATGGTTTTAAACACATCGACGCTTTGGATGTGGAAGGAATCCTCCTAAAAAATTATCATTTAAAACATAGAGGTAGGGTTCTGAATCCAGTAGAAGATGAAGAAGTTGCTGTTTATTGGATCCCAAAAGAATCTCATGCTTGATGAATATCTGTCTTTAAACCTAAAAATCTGAAGTGAGTCAGTGTGATTGGCAGACAGTTTGGAAGAACTCAAGCAAGAACAAACTTTGATAAATCACTATAAAGAGTCATGATTCCAGTCACTGTGCCACAGATGGGACTGACTCCTGATGGCACAAAGATGCAGGGCTCGTCTTCACAGTGTGCTTTGTCCTGTTTTGTCATCAGTAAGGAGTAAAAAGGATTGGCCCGTGTGTGGTGCGGATGGGCCCCGGGGCAGGCCTCAGCAGATTGAGGGCTGTTCCCTGTAGGAGATGATGATGGTGATGATGGTGGTGAGGATGGGGAGTCGGGCCTGGAGGACGTAACGCCAGTTGATTGGAGGAAGCTGCAGCTGCCATCACAGCAGCAACAGCCAAGGGATTTGGTAAAAGTCCAGCTCCCAGAGACTTTGGAAGTTCCTTTGAGCAAACAAATGAAATAATGTAAATTCAACTTATTTTCAGCTTTTGTTCTACAAACTTTATTTGAACAGTTTTAAAGGGGAAATTGGAATTATTGGATCTACAGCTCTCATCTTCCTGCCCATGGGTGAAAATGCCTCAAAATGTTCCTGTCAGACTGAGATTACTTTGGTCTAGATAGAAATATATGAACAGGACTGTACTGTAGTTATTACTGCAGAAAAATGGCAAATGTGGACGTGACAAACTGACTTCCTACCACAAACTCTGTGCGTTTCTTGTGTCGACTCAGAAGCGGATTGGGTTTTCCTGCAACTCCATCACGATGTCTGCGGCTGGATATATGCTGGAGCATGAAATGAAAAAGGACGGATACTGTATATTGACTTTTCTTTAAAAAAAAAAAAATTGCTCATGACCCTGAGGGTCTGTGTGAGGTTTACTCACCTGTTTGAGCTGCAGCTCAGAATTGACTCTGACGTTGCAGATCTCACAGTGGAAGGTGCGTTCCTGAGTGTTGGGGTCAGAGGACAGCTCCCCTCCCTGGTCGGGGCTAGGTTTAAGACCCAGGCGAGGGTAAGCTTTTATAGGCCCCAGGCCACTCCTTGCCTCCAGAATGGTTTTGTGCTTGGTACCTGGAAACAAAGATATCATTTTGACAGAAGTCTGACCTGAGTTTTTCTCCCTCTGCTTAACAAATGCTGTCGTTGTTAAAACCAAGGCACAGAAGTAGTCTGTGTTTTATATTGTTTGGTGTTATTCTAAAATTTACCAGACAAATCGGACAAATTACCTTTGTTGTGTGCCTCAAGTTGTGAAAGGGAATTAACTGCAACTTTGCAGAGGGAGCAGTAAAGAAGCTTCTTGGCTTTTTCCTCTTCTGTCTCCCCTGATGATGGACTGGACACTGGGGACAGGGTGTCTGGAAGACCAGACACTGTTGGGTCTCCAGGGGGTGCACCAAGGGGTGGGTTAGGGGACGGAGAGGATGCAGAAGACAAGAGGGTACTCTCTGTGTCTGTTGAACTCAGTGAGGGTGTAGGGAGACGGCTGGTGGTCAAATGTGTTTCAGTAGAGATAGGACAAGATTGGGCCACATCTGTAAATGTCGGGAAAAAAATGAGGTCAGTACATTGGTTGTTTTGTTGCTACATTTGGAAAAACACTGATATCTAGTTTGTCAGGATGTGTGTAGGTTGTGACCTGCTGATAAACCCAAAAAGTCTGGTCCCTAACCTCAGTGACATTCAGGTGTTCAAACAATGTTTCTGTGAAGAACTGAACTCTTTCCAGTTTAACAGATTGACACTTAGCCAGTTAAATAAGACCAGACCAGTTTTACTTTTAATAAGAGGAGATGAATGGTGATGTGCAGTATTTCTGTAGAGAACTTTTTACAATTATTTTATTATGTTATTTACAGCTGACAAAAAACTTGCAAATCATAATGTATTGTTGATGCTCACCTTGCTTGTTGGGATCAGGTTCAGGACTGGGTGGTGAGGGTCCTGATGGAGAGGGGGAAGCAGAAGGAGGGGGGAGCTGTTTGTCCCCATCTTGGAGACGAGGTGTTTTGGACGTTTCGATGCCTTTCACTTTTCGAGCATGACGATTCCCCTTGTAGTGAGCTTCTGCTTGGCTCTGACAGAATATACCACATGTCAAAGATTAACATAACATCTTTGATCAATTGGTTGCACTTGAAATTTTAGAAATGTTAATAAGAAACGTTACGTTATGCTCATGATCGGTAAAGAATGCTAGGGTTTTATCCGTCAGAAAGCAATTCATCTAAAATACAGGTGTGATGTCTTTTTATCTGCAGTGAACCTCCCTCTGCATATGTTGTACTATTCTTTTTTTGCATCAGACCAGAATCCCTGTAGTTAGAATTAAATGTTGTACTAGACCAGACCAGAATCCCTGTAGTTAGAATTATTTACCAGCAAAAAATATATACTCAGTAGGTGGCAGTAGAGCTGTGCAGGAGTCAGAGCAGCTGTTCAAACTAGAACATGAAAATGAATGAGTGGTCAAAAGGAAGGATCAACTCACATTCATCAAACAAACCTTTTTGGTGTAGGAATAGAACCTATATGAGTTTGAGTTGAAAGAAAAAAAAATTGTAACTATATTATCAGTGTGCATCATCATTGAACAAAGTCTGCTGGGTTGTCAAAGAGAAACAGGTTCCACCGTATTCTTCTACTGATTTTTGAGGAGTGGGATTATCTGAACTCAAAGGCAAATCAGTTGCAACGGAAAACCATAAACATCGACACTGGAAACTGGAGGCTAAAATAAAGAGAGCGTGCAGAACAGATGATGACCTGACATGAGGGGGCCATTTTTGGTGTCACAGACCGTCCTGGTGGAATGACTAGTCAGTGGGAGGTGTGGACTTCCTCCGTCCTGGTGGAATAACTAGTCAGTGGGAGGTGTGGACTTCCTGTCATAATTGGCAGTGTGCACAGAGAGACAGCTAATAGGGACATGTCACGGTGAAGGGACACTTCTTTGGATTTCTGCTATCACTTATTGCTATTTAAAAAAAATTACACTATGATTAATTACTTACAAAGTCACTTATAAATTAGTTAATTATGTTCCGTCACTAATACACAGAGAAGTGGGAGGCAGCTTTGGATTAAACACATTTTAATAATGTCAATTACAAGCCCTTAATGCCATCACAGAGTCCAAGGATCCGCTGGAACTTGTCAGCAATGCCTTCTTAAGCCACAAGCATTAGTTGCAGATGACAGTTACCCGTAAAGCTCTCACCCTGATTCATCCTGATTGCTGCTGACAGAAAGGCAGATATAGCCCTGACTGTGTAACCCAACTCCCCGTGTCGCTGCCACGCCATGTATGCCCTTGAATGGGATAAATTAAGTGACAGATGTTGTGAGAAATTAATGTTTTTTACACTGCACTCCAGAGCCATCCTCTTCATTTCCATATCCTCGTTTAAGCTGGAGATTTTGATGCTATAGCTTTTTGTGACCTTCTGTGGCAGGTCTTAAGAAATCGATGGACGTCGTCCGTCAGTTCGAGTGAAAAAATTGTGAACGGGCTCTCGGAGGTCGGGCTAAGAGTCAGCGGTGGCACAAGGATCAAGCATCAAGTCGTGAATGTTAAAAGGAGAGCCGAACAATGTCAAAATACACAAATGATCTTTGACACAAAGGGTGAAATTAAGTGCGAGAAATTGCCAGGGTGTCTGTGAAAAGGAGGATTAGAGTGAATGGAGAAGCAGAGATGGGATTTAAAGGGGGCGCTAGAAAATGAGAGGCAGCAACTGTCCTCCTGAAATCCTCTGTGTCTACGAGCGGGAAGTGCTTTGATGTTTTATCTACAAAGTGACAAAGGCACAGACAGCAGAGTGAGCGGCTGTAGCAGCCAAATGTACTGTAGGGGGATTCAGGCAGCAGTGACAGGAAGAGGAAGAGGGGTGGGAGGGAGATGGAGAGAGAGACAGAGAAGGAGAGAGAGAAACAGAAATACGAAAACACTGAGAAGAAAAAAAAGAGTGAGGAAAAGTAAGCTGACAACTAGACAAAAGACCAGCAGCATTATTGATGTGGGCCTGAAAAGTGGAAGAAATGCTCAGAAAGAATGAAGAGGGGTGTCTGTTATTATGGTGCTGCAGTGGTGACGGTGGTTAATGCAGCATGGTGTGACGTCAGCCTTGCAGCAGAGCTGAGTCGAACAGCTAATCTGTCCCCTGTGTCCTGGGAAATGAATTGCAATGTTGTAATTACAACATGTGAGTCTGCAGTGTCAGCGGCAGAGAACAAAAAAATGTTATCAAAGCTAAAGGTTGTGAGTTAAAAAAAAAAATACAATTAAACCAATATTTGACAACCAAAAGAATGTGTTTAGTAATGTTTGCAAAGCGTGTTGGAACTTAATGCCCAGGTCAGACATTAGGCTTGTGACGCAAAGGGCAGGAAATAAGCCTATGTCAAAGTTTTCATTATATCATATTATTTCAATTTAATTATACATTTTTTTTCTGTACATGATTTTTTTTTTCGTGAGACTGTGACCAATACCGATTGTATGTTTTTTTTCTTGAGACTGTGACCAATACCGATTGTATGAAACTGAACACTGGCCTCATTGGTCTCTTTAGTTTTGATTAATCATCATTAATCCAGCGCTAGCCTGTGATTAATCAAATTAAAAATTCGAATGGTTTGACAGCCCTAGCTTCTGCACGATAAGATAAAGAAGATGATAAAAACTCAAGGAACTTGTCGCTGACCACACTTTTCCTACTGAGCCTGTTCAAGAGTAAATGTAAAGAATGAGAATCAGAGGTCATTTGAGAAGGAATGAAAGATGGTTTAAAAAGCATCAAGTTGTCAGTAAAATCAGTGAAATATTCTTTGCCCTTTTTTACAAATGTCAACATATGTGTTGCAGCGTATCAAAATTTTAAAATACAAAAAAAAACCCAAAAAATACCTGCTCCTTTAACTTGTGGAGTTTAGCTTAAGACGGGTCTGCTTGACAAAATGAGTGTTTTCCTGTACGAAACGTACAGAACAGGTCAGAGAGTGTAAGTGATTCAACCACTCAACTGTGAGCAGAGTATTCTTTCATTATTAAAGAATGTCCTTGGAGCTTTAGGCTCCTGGTCTCTCAGGTTACTGCAGCCGAGCAGATGCACTCTGCCGTGAGACAATCAGTGAAGTGGACAGCAGGTGGCCTCATATTAGTGGACCGACTGCATTACAGACATGTTAAAGACATGACTTGAGCCTGAGACACTCTTCTAAAAAAAAAAAAATCAGTCAATGAGGTCCAGACTCCTGCGCCTCACGTTCTCGTGGACCTTGTGTGACCATGTCGGTCTGAACAGTGAAGATATAATTAAGCAGCCTTCACAGAGTGAACAGGTTAGTGTTTCACAAGTTTCACATGACTCCCAGTGTCCTTTAAACACCACTGCATTTAGAGGATCGGTATGTAGCACCTTGTCCCCTGGAATGCATTTTTATTTTTAGCTTAACATGTGTATCTGGCTCCAAATTGTTTCTAGGCATGTTAAGGTTCAAGGATACATGGGAACACCGTAAACACCACGGCTTTAAGGTCTGAGTTTACGATATAAACCGTGTAATCTCAAAGTGAATCATCTCAGCCATGTTAAACAGGACGTTTGTAATGCCTTGTGGATCAGCAGGTATGCTGCCCTCTGTCTGTCTCTGTCCTCAGTCTGTCTCTGTCCTC